ATTTTTAAATTTTTATATCAGGAGAAAACTATATAAATAATTTTTTTAATTAATTGAAAGCGATTTTTATTTAAGAATAAAAAATTATGGAGTGAATGAACTTGGAAATTATAATACCTCAAATATTAACATTTAATGATTTTATTTTATAAGAGTTGATGTCCTATCATTCAAATTATTATACAGAAATAATTATTATAAATTACTCTAATTACTTAATCTTTTAAAAAAATATGTATACATTCAAAAAGTTTGTTAATTAGTAAGATAAGATATATATTTTTTGTTTTTTTTTTAATAATGGTGGTGGTATTAAAATATCTATAAAAAAATGTTAAAAAAATATATGGATTTTGTACGTGTAAATATTGAAAACTTTTATAAAACACTGACGAAATATTTTAATAAGTAATACACGCAAAACTCTCTCTATTTTAATATTTTATGTAACATGTTAAATATATATTTTTAAAATTAGTATTAAGTACATATAATTTTTTTATTTTATTTTTTTAATTTTATATATTTAAATTTATTTATCGTTCTTTTATAATAAATTTATGTATAATTAAAGGTATATAAATATTATTTAACTAAAATAAAATTATTATTAATTTATATTATTTAAAAAATAAACTATTCTCCGTATTAAATTTCTATATATATATATATATATATATATAATATTATTATTTTCAATATTTGTAAATATTATCTAAATATTTATGGCCCTTGAGTTGGCTAAGTGATTTAAGCATACTGTAGAGTTTAATTAATATGTATTTTTTTAATATCAGTGAAAAATATTTTGTTATCAATAAAAAATAACGTATATGTTGTTTAAAAAAATGAAAGTTATTTATATAAAAAAATCTCTTATTTTAAATAATTTTATATATGAAGTTCTTTATAAAATTATAGGTTTGTTTTTAAAATTTTGAGTTGTGTCAAATAATTAAAGTCATAGTCACGTGAAAAATCAGAAAGTCTATAAAATATAACCGTGGTGAATTATTTACCCCTAAAATATGTTTATTTATTATTATAATTAATTCAATTAAGGAAAAATATAAGTTTGTCCATGTTAAGTTAATTTGCATTACATTTGCAAGTAAGCCCAAATTAACTTTTGAAAAATTAAGCTTTAAATCTTATCCCAAAATTGTTGTTAAAATTTAAATTAATTGAATAATCATGTCCAAAGTTTTAGTTTTAATAAAATTTTATTATAATTAATCAAAATATAGAATTCGATTATCCTAATAAAATTAGGACGACAAGAACTAATTTCACTAAAAAAGGATTTTATTAGTCAAAAATAGAAAAATAGAATAAATGATTACAGAAATCCTCACAGGAACATTTGAATTTAAAAGAAAAAAGTTTTAAGAAAATTTGGTTATAATTTGATATGGGAATAAATCTTACTACTTTTGAAGTTTATGCGCTTATATTGATATATTAATTCATTAGATCATATAAAAGATGATAAAAGACATTGATAATTTTATTTTTTGAGTTATTTGTCGAATAGAATAAGAAAAAATGTTAAACTCGTTATCCTATTTAAAGAAATATTTATATATTAAAATTAAAATAAATTAAATTATAACTAAAAATATTTATTTTTTATTTCATGTTATTAAAAAATACAAATATATTATAATTTAAATTATAAATATTAATAAATTAAATTAAAATTATTAATCATGATTAAGTATTTTTAGATATAAATATATATATTTTTTTAATTTATCTAATAATTAATAAATAAAACTTACAAATTAATTATTATTTTTTCTATTGTTCTTTAGTCCGTTATGATAAACAAACTTAAGTAAAAAAGTTGTAATCTAATTAATAGTTATAATTTTTTGTTTGTGATAAACGTTGAATCTAATAATTGGTATAAGAATCAATAGTTACGAATTCTTAAAAAATTAAAAGTAGGAGAAATCTAAAAAAAAAGAGGGGCAATGGGTTTTAGGGAAGCAAAAAGGGGTTTTGGGGAACAGTGATTTAATTTTGGATTGCATTGGAACAGTGGAAGAACAGAAGATAGCAGTTTATGGTTAGGAACATGGCTTTTAACACAGAGACCAAAAGAAGGAGATTGTAGTACAATGAAAATCCAATAAATGTGACAAGAAGTTGGTCCACACAGCATTTGGAATGCCCCATCTATCATCATGCACCTCTCTCTTTTCATTTTTCACTTTTATTGCTCCAAATCTTCACCCTGCACATGCCCTTCTCATTTTTTCTTTTGTTATGTCTTCAGATTTTATGCAATAGGCACATGAAGGTATGAACAATAAAATCCATTTGTTCAAAATTTGTGAAAAAAATAAAGAGAAACTCGTTTAACTTGTGATCACGAATTCATCTTAAAAATATAAATATAAATTCTGTTATGATATATTAAATAACTTATCCGCTTTTGCTTTAATAAAAGAATTTTTTTAAAAGCTAAAATCATTTTCAATAAAAATATTGTTATGAATTATTTCTTATCTTAAAAAATATAAAATATAATTTATATTATGATATATTAAATAACTTACCCATTTTTGTTTTAATAAAAGAATTTTTCAAAAGCTAAAATCATTTTCAATAAAAATGAATGATTTATATGAATTATTTTTTATCTTTAAAAATATAAATTATATCATGATGTATTCAATAATTTATCCACTTTTGTTTTAATAAAGAAATTAAAAGCTAAAATCATCTATATGAATTATTTATCATTTTAAAAATATAAATATAAACTTATTGTGTCATTATTTTTATAAGAAACTCGTAATTGATTTTATTTTAATAAAATAATATAAAAAACATTTTTATATTTTCTCTCATCATTTTTTTATTTATTTTTTAAGTTATTTAATAAAATAGTTATTAAAAAAAATCATTTTTCATGTCACATCACATCTCTATAATAAAAACTGTTAAAAATAATTAATATTTTACTTAAATATTTCACTGAATAACTCTGATATATATTGCGAACAACCTATTATTTTATATTCTTTATTTAAATTTGATTATGCTAAATTATAAGATATCTCTAATATTAAGAAAAATTATAAAAAATTGTGTTTTATAAAACTAACATTGTTATAGCATGATTAAAAGTTTAACAAATTTTACTTCAATATATACTAAGAAAATCTCTACCATCTCAAATTCCTTTTCCTTTCTCCATTCTCCATTGATTGAAAGAAAAAATAATATATTTTTTAAATAACAATTATTTAGTAACATTTGTTTTTAAATATGATGTATAAAATTATTAAAATTATCAAACAATAATAAATAAATCAATAAAATGATTAATATTTTTTTTATTTCCTTAAAAACTTAGGATAAGAAATGATTGAAGAAATATTTTGTTAAGAGAAAGAGAAAATGAAAGTTATATATGGAAAGAAGAATAAAGAAGAATAAAGAAGAAAAAAGATGAATTTTGATGGGTGAGAATGGAGGTAGTTTAGAAATGGCATTGCAGAGAAGAGAGTGAAGGTGGTCACATGGTTTGTCTTTTCCTTGTTTGGTGTTTATGAATCGGTTGACAGAGTTGTTCGTGTTTTAACATTTTTAATAATATTTAACCCTAATTCACATATATCCAATATTATTTACAAAATAATATGTTATTAGAATTAATATTACATAATCTAAAATATTATTATAATCTTAATTTTTAAATTATACTTAGAAAACATACAAGGTAGATAAATGGAAAAAAAATGTTGGATGGTAGTTAGAAAGAAAAGTGGAGAAGCATGAACAGGTTTTAGTGATTGATGATGACCACATCTACATGTGGGTTACCTGTTATGATTGTGACTCATGTTAATGATAGTCCATTCATTTAACATTGGAAGAAAAAAAGTTTCATCTCATTCTATGTGTTAAGGAATATATTAGTTACAGATTTTTTTATTACCATTATTATTATTTAGTTTTGTTCATCATTCTTTTCTTTTTTTAAATTATTTTTTTACTGTAGCATCATTTGTTTGATTAGTTTATTATTAAATAAATTTTCTCTTTATTTTTAAACTCGATTTAATAAATTTAAAAATATAATCATTTTTTTTATATCAACATTAACAAAGCCCTGAAAACTTTTGAACCATGTTCTTATGATATATAAGTGGGTTTAATTATATGATTGGTCACTATCACAAGTCTTTTTCCTTGCAATAAAATTGTGGTATAATCCAAGGTTTGGGTCACAACATGCTACAGTTTCATGTGATGCATCATGGCCAGCATTTTCAGAATTTCAAAGTGTGATCAGATTAATTAATCAACAATCCAAGAAGACAAAAAGGAGAGAGAAAATCCTGCATGCATGGTTTCAAATTACACGTCTCTTTCTCTCTATTGTTACCATTTTTTTATTTTTCTTATTTTTTCTTTCTGAGAAAATGATCATTTCCCAATACCTATAGCCGCACAATTTTTCCTTGAATCTATCTCATGCCAGACAAAAACATGAACATCACAATTTTTATATCCTTGAATTGGTGACTGGGGCAAATCAATGTAACCTAATTAGTCAAATAATTCACATCAAAATTTAGCTGTTGCTGACTGAGTCAGGTAATGACTTCCACCAAGGTATAATAAAACCAACTTGACCCAGAATAATGTGGAAAATTTTTGGTTCATAATTAATAAAACGTTTCCTTAGGGATTAAGAGTCAAATCATGAAGACAAGGGCTAGAAGAATCATGCAACTGATTTTTTTAATATTACACATTTTAACACGTAAGTATAGATCATCAATCACGTCTTGCAAATGACACAGAGATGTTTTTGTTTAACTGTTTCATGGGTTTGTTACCTGCGATGCAGATAAAAATTTGAAGTGTAGGGACATTTTCAATTTAAACTGGATTAAAGAATTGTTTCATTTGGCAATGTAAGCATCAACTATATTTTATTGAATAGCTTAATTTGTATGAATGTGAAAGTGCTAATTAAGATGAGATCATCACCTCATGCTGCAAATTTTGAAGTTGATGGCTGCGTGTTTGAGTTTACAAAGAAAGGAGGAAAGAGGAGGTGGGGATTGAAAACGAAACATTTTCGCATAATAATTAAAGATAATTTATACATAGTTTTAATATAAATAATTTTAAATTTTGTTCTATTATTTAAATATTTTGTTAAGATGAAATCTATATCGATTTTATAAAGTTGATTTGATAAAATAATATTCATCTATTCTTGGCAGATAAATTTTGCACGAATCTTCTTGAGAGCTTATGATTCTTTATTTTTCAAATTCTTATAACTTTTTTTATTACAAACTTAATAATCATTAAATATTTTTTTTATATATTTATAATTTTTATCCTAAAATCATTGATAAAATACTTCAAGTAATTCCAATATTATTAAAATTAGAATCTATATTAAAGATTATTGTGTCTACGTAGATATCCTCCAAAGTCTCACGTTAGATAGTTTGAACAAAAAAGTGATTACTACTATAAATAAGGGATGATAGTGTGAGTTTACTCACCACAACAATACTAGTCTTTGGGTGTAGAGAATTTTTTCGTGAATTACATGAGAGAATTTATAATATTGTCCTTGTAAAGTTGAGAAATAAAGAGTTATTGAGTATGTTAATGGATGTAGCACTACTACAAATAAAGCTTTCAACGTCGGTTCTGGAAGGCTTTCAACGTCGGTTTAATAACCGACGTTGTATCAGGCGACGTTGAAAGTCGTCGGTTCCAAAAAATCGACGTTGAAAAATACACTTTAGATAGCGGTTCCCTTATAACCGCTATCTAATGTCGACTTTCAACGTCGGTTCTAAAAAACCGACGTTGAAAGTATGATTTTTTAAATTAATAATTTTTATTTTATTTACAACCCCTTTACCCCCTTTTATTATCTAGAAGTCTCCCTCTCTTCCTATTATATTTTTATTAGGTCCTCCATCTCTTTATATTATATTATATTTTTAGAAGTTTTTTAATTTTTAAGAGAATTATCATGTGGCAGGATTCAAACCCGAGTACTTTAGAGTTGGAGGTCGATACTCCAACCACTAAACTACTTGAATTTTTTGATAATAACTTACAAATAAATTATATTTATATACAAATAAATATATATCCGTGTAAATATATACAAATAAACCCAGTACTTTCATCTTCTTCGCACTGATAATCCTCCAAAATTTTGTGTTCTTCATGTCGACAGTCCTCCCAAATTCACCTTCTCGCTCACAATTTCACTCCCTCTTTGTGACCTTGTACCAGTGACTATCCACCATTGTTCGAGCTTAATCACCTTCGTCTCTCCAACCCCAATTATCCACCCCGAGCCTACCTCGACGAACTCGAGGCCGAACCCCAACTCTGGCGACATCGAACCCCAAAGTTCAAGCCAAACTGTTTTATAGAAGATTTTCAAACTACTGGTTTAATTAATCTGTTAAAAGATTCTTTTAATCTGTTAAAAGTGCAGTTTTAATCTGTTAAAACTTCTTTTAATCCATTAATACGTTCTTGATTCTTTAACAGATTTGTTTTAACCGATATTGCAACGTTTATATCAATTAAAACACTTTACAAAAAATCTTCTAAGCTGATTTAATCGATTGTTTCGCGATTCAATCGATTGAAATACTTGCAAAACTTTCTCGTAAAACTTTTCAACTAATTTTAATCGATAAAAATAAGTTTTAATCGATTAAAGCAGTCGTGCAGAAATTGTTTTAATCGATTGAAACGCTATCTAAAATATATCTCGCTTGAGCGACACCCTTCTCGCTCGAGCGAAACGCCTCCTGCACAAAATTAGCATTCTCGGGTTGTATTTCGCTTGAGCGATTCTACCTCGCTCGAGCGAAATAAGATTCGATCGATCATAACTCGCAATGATCGATCATAATTGAGAGGATATAATAGCGGTTCCCTTATAACCGCTATCTAAAGTGTATCTCGCTTGAGCGATACCCTTCTCGCTCGAGCGAAACGCCCCCTGCACAAAATTAGCATTCTCGGGTTGTATTTCGCTTGAGCGACACTACTCTCGCTCGAGCGAAATAAGATTCTGATCGATCATAACTTGAAATGATCGATCATAATTGAGAGGATATAATAGCGGTTCCCTTATAACCGCTATCTAAAGTGTACTTTAGATAGCGGTTCCCTTAGAACCGCTATCTAAAGTGCACTTTAGATAGCGGTTCCCATATAACCGCTATCTAAAGTGTGTGAGTTTTCAATACTTAGAGGGTTTCGACGTCGGTTATACCCACACCCGACGTTGAAAGCCCATGCAGAAGGGTTTTCAACGTCGGGTGAGGGCATAACCGACGTTGAAAGCCTACTTTCCACGTCGGACATGCTAAAACGACGTAGAATGTGCCAAAATTCGACTTTCAACGTCGGTTGTTGAACAACCGACGTTGAAAGCATATTCAACGTCGGCTAAGATGTAACCGACGTTAAACAGCGACGTTGAAAGCATATTTTCTAGTAGTGTAGGCAAGTTGTTGAGTATGTTAGTAGATGTAGACAAGTTGTTAAGTATGTTAGTGGATGTACGTAAATTGTTGAGTATGTTAATAGATGTAAGAAAAAAGTGTTTTGTAAGTTTGTTTCTCTATCTTTGTTTCTTTTATATATGTTTTAGCGTGTGAATATTTCTTTTTTCCTCTAATATCCAACAAAGACGGTGAAATAATAAAATTAATAGAGGAAGATAGGAATTATATTTGTTCATATATTATAATTTATTACCAAATGCAATAATTAAGATGACGATATTATTATAACATTAAAATATTTTAATGAGAAGATGTGGATGGGAAAAATAAAAATCATATTAAAGATAATTATATAGATATATGGTACCCAGATAAAAAAAGTTGTAGACACGGAAGTGCTTTTGATGGCTTCATCCTTTACTATATGCATACATTGATGCATGTCTCTTTCAACAAGTTGTTTTTGGTTTTAGGGATGTTCCTAAAGTGAGTTGTTGCCCCCTTGAGGAGCGGTGGGTGATGGCTTTGGACTCTGTTGGTGGGGCAGCCAAGGAGTTCATTTGCCACTTGTCTCTTTGTGTGAGAGCCCACTGGGCCAGATGGTCTTCTTCCACTCCTCTTCTTTTTACTTTTTCTTTTGCCTTTTTCTTACCATTTTTGAGACTATGATGCACATATGTTACATGATATTGCACAATCATGATAATGTGGTTTTGTCACTTTTTGGGAATGTGTCCCATACGCTATAGTGTTTCCATTTAGCATCTTCTGTATTAGATGCCCATTGTGGGGTCCCAAATGTGAATAAAGCTTGGAGGGTGACTCAACCAATCAAAATCAAAACCATAACATAATTATAATAATAATGATGATGATAATGGCCACTTTGGTAGGGATCTTGATGGTGTTGATAAGATAAGATACACGAATGTATGCCACTGCCACTACGGCTCAATGATTGTCATGAACAAAGTATGAAGCAGTGAAAAACTTTCCTCTGGCTGCACACCTTTCAAGGGACTCTTTAACTTTGAAGGTCGGAGTCATACTCTATTTTTCAATTGTCAAAAGTTGTTCATTCCAAGTCTTGCTTTAGACTTGTTCATTTCCTCATGAATTGGGTAGGTTTAGGTGTTTAATTATCCTAGTTGTGATGGTAAAACAATACAGAGTTTGTTCACTTTGATGCACACTTCTATCAATCAGGGATAAAGCAGTGGTTATCAACAACAATTCTGGGCTTATAAGGTATGATGTAAAGGTTTTTCATTTGGCAGGTTTGACTTTGTTGTTCATTACAATCCAATTGAAAAATGATATTCATAAACTAGTTTGGTGCTTGGTTATCTCCTGGTCGAAATTAAAGACTAGTTTCTTGATCTAAAGCTTGACTTCTCAAACATAGACGTGAGGGTTGAACTCTTGACCACATGCTTCACTGATACGAATCTATCAACCATGTTACATCATATTTGTTCATTGGTTAGGTATATAAACTATGTTGTTTGAAGACTTTAATTTGTTGAATAGACAAAGTCAGAAGTTTTCCAACACTCCAAAGTCTGCCAGATTTTGTTGTGTTGTGTCTCTTCAGTCTTTCTATTGTTGTTGAGGTTTGGTTTTTGTTTTGTTGAATAATGAATATGTACTTAAGGTTGTAATACATACGTTAAGATGACTTCATATCTTTTTTTTTTTTCTCATTTTATTTGGCAAATTGGTCTCTCTATGATTTAAATTTCTTTAGTCCATGTATCCTTCCAGATGGGTACTTTATCGAATTCATGTACAATAATAATCATTAACAGCTTACCCTAAAGTCGTTCAATTTGTAAATAAAGTCAGCATTTAGCAAAGTTTTATTCTCTATGTTCACATTACTTTTTTCTATGAACATTGCAAAATCTCTCCAACCACAATGAACACGATCAACCTAGTACATAGTTTGTTTGACTGTCCATGAGATTCTCTGGTGCATCTGAAAGAACACACTGAAATGAACTTTTACCATAGAGTCAAGTCAGAAACATCAGCTTCCTATGAAGCACTATTGGTCTCACTTCATCAAAGCCTTCTTCTTTTTACTTTGAATTTGATGATTTTACTTTGGTTGATTATGAGCCAATAGTTTAGTTATCGAATCTCAACTCTATTTATTTCTTGCATACTGCTACTGATGTAGCACTTAACTTCAGACCAGGCCATTCCAAGATAGTAAATGCTTTTCCAGGAGTAACAACAATAATGGATAATGAGTGCTTATTTGGATAACTACTAGAATCGATTCTGGTTCCTGAAATCACAACCAAAAATTGAAAAAGCACCAGAAACTTGGTGAACTTTTTCTTACTCACAATTTTACTTGGCAGTGTACCAAGTTTCGATGTAGTATTTATAAAGTCGTCCACAGGGATTTGTGAATTAATGATTCTAATTTAAATGAATCTTTATAATTAACCATTTACAGGTTTCGAATTCTCTTGTAATCACACATAAACATAAAATTAGAACAGTGAAAGAAATTAACTGTAATGAGTGATTAAATATGATGCATTTTCTATTCTACTCTTTTCTTAATCATCATGATTCTGTTAGTCCAATTCCATTCTTCTTAATTCACTCAGTATGATTCCTCAATACTAAGATCTAAAATGTTGACTTTTAACCATGATTCCTCAATGAATCAAATTCAACATCCAGCATTAAATTTTCACTCTGAAGATCAGGGACAAGCAAGATCAAATCTATTCCTACAATTTGATTTTACTTGGTGTTTGAACAGTTCCAGAATTTAAGATTTTCTTCCGAATACCTCAAAAACTTTAAATCTTAATCTAGTTAATCAAACCAAATTAAGTAATACGCACAGAATCAAACACGATCGGATAAACAGAAATTGATTACATTCATAGATTTGCAAAATAGATTTTACATCATATTCAATCCATAGAATTCAGTTCCTCATAGGAGAAAGTACGAGAGAAGGAAGAAAGAAGAAAATTACAGAACATAAGCAACAGTGAAGGTAGATCCTTGTTCCCAAGCTATCCAATCTTCTGTTTTGCTTTGAATCTGTGTTCCTGAAGCTCCGGTCGATCTCCTCTCTGTCTCTCTCTTTCTTTCTTTTTTCTTTTCTGTTCTTCGATACCTTTTTCTCACTAAAAATCCATTATATTAAAACAGGGGTTTATCATCCGCTCAGCTCCAAATAATCCGCTGAGCGGATATGTAAATACTTTAGCTTGAAGGAACCTAATCCGCTGAGCGGAGTAGAATTCGCCGGGCGCATTGCAGCTTGAAATCTCCTTTTGATGCGGCTACAGTTCCGCTGGGCGCATTAAATTCCGCTGAGCGGAGTGGAGTAAAAATTCTGTTTGCATTCTGGTAATCCGCTGAGAGCTTGATATTCCGCTGAGCGGATATTGAAGTTTTAAGTTGTGGGCCTGCATCACCAAAAAGGCCCAAATTCAATACATATTTTCCAAAAAACACAATCAGACTCTAGAAATTATACCTTGTCATCAATTTAATCAAATAAATATATTTTTGCAAGGTAAATTTCTACTTATGTATCATTAAGTGAGTATTTATGAATGTAAAACATGTAATATTATTCACTTAACACAGACAACTATTTGTTGTCTTGGCTTTCAACTCGTGAAATTGGAATCAGTTCTGGGAAGATTGAATCTAATCCAAACATGCAGAAAGTCAGGCAAGAACATTTTCATATGGTGTTAACTCTCAAATATCATTGTATAATTGAAAAACAAAAGAACAGTGTAGTGAATAGTGTATTTTTGTAAAAGGGAGAATTCAAGGTATCAGATAGAGGCACAGTAATCTACATGGTTTTTTTGTAGGCATCTGCTCAGAATCACGCAAAGGAGCTGCAAGGATCTTTTTCATTGTTGAGGTGAAAGAAGTGTACCTTCCAATGTACTGATCCTCATAAAAGAGGGTGAAACACTGATTCCAAGTGAAAATAAATGAAGTACCAGTAATGGTGGTTGCATAATTTGTTAGAGTGAAAATGTGACTAAAGTATCACCTTGAATAAAGACAAAACATGTTGACTATAAAATCCATACTTCAATAAATGTGTTTGGCTATGCAGCTAAATGTAATTTTCTTGCCCTTAGAATCACAACTAGACACATATTTTAACGCTTTAATCACTAAATTGTTAAATTATTTTTAATCTTGTTTCCTGTTTTCAAAGATTTTGTAGAGATAAAAACTTATGTCTTATGGTTTCTGTCAAGGTTTGATGGATTTCATTTGGCCTTAAGTGAGAGAGGAAGAAAAGTGAATCAGTGACAGTGGAACTCACATACAACTTGTTATTCAACATTTTCTTTTCCTTGTCTCAATCACACAATGAATTTTATCTCTTCCTTTTCCTTTTCTATCTCTTATTTGTAGAAGAAAGTTGGATGTTTTTATTGAATAAACAGAACTTGTTTAGAATTACTGATGATAATAATGCAACTTCTACATGCTAATGTAGTGAAAATGTTCTAGTTAATCAATCAAAAAGTCTATGCAAGAAAGAAAAAGTTTTTCCTTGGATAATGCAACTGCAGTTGTACACTTACACTGTATTTTCAGTACTGGCAGATTCAGAACTTTTGGATGTAGCTTCGAACACATGTACCGTAACAGTTTGAAACTGTAGTAAATAACAGCTTATGGGAAATATCTTCCTAAAATGTGTTTCTGTATCTGACTTAACATTGATTGATTCACTATGTGTCATTAATAAATGAAGTAAACCTGTGGAATGTTAATAGAACCTTTTTAGTGGAAAGAAAAAAGAAGAGATGCTCTGCAGATGTATTGCCTACATACTTTTACTTGTTTTTTGTGTTACTTTTAAAAGCTCTAATCATAGTTACTAACATCTTATAATCTTTTGCAGATGATTTGTGTGAGACAATTACCATCAGAACATTTCAATATTTGTAAGATTAAGTGCATGTTTCACATGAGTTAAATCTGATTGGAGTAAAATAAAACATGTGAATAATATAAGTGACAAAACTAAGTTCTCTGGTAATTATAACGAGATTTAGATTGGATTCCAAACACAGTAACTGCATGAATTAAATAGTGTTGATTTAGATAGGTCATTTGAGCTAAGTCATTATTTTTGCCATTCCATAATCATAAACAATAGTGAGCAGAAAATGTCATACCACTTTGGAATTCACACACAGTGAAGGGAATAGAACCAAACCAGTGACTAGTGGTGGTGGTAGGTAACCTTATTACCATGGTTTTCAAGCCTCAATATTTCTAATCACATTACCGACCATAGAGACCATGAAACAGTGGTGGTGGCAGCTAATGTCACTTTCAATGAGTGTTAAATCCCGAGGTTGATATATAGGAAAAGACAGAAAAAGACTTCTCAAGGGATGGAAAACTAGCCAAATCTGACTCAAACAGCATCTCACCAAGTTTCAAAGTCATCCTCTCAGTTTTTAAACATTTCCCCTTGTCATGAACATACTTTCATAAACTTCTCAAAAATAATTTTGAAAAGATAAAAAGATAAATTAATTTGTAGAAACAATTCATATAGTTTTTAGATAAATGACTTTCAATAAATATATTAAGGCATTTTTCGAAAAAATTATCTAAATACATTATTTATCAATAATGTTACTTAACCAAACTTACAGTTGTTCCCTTTTATCTATATGGATAAAAAAAACTGTATTTGTTGTTGTTGTTTTAATTCTGAATATATAGAATGTTCAAGGGAACAAGTTTGATGACCCTAATTATAGATGAAATTATAAATCCACATTGTAACAAAAAGATATGCAATGAAAATAGCTATAGATCAACCCCAATAAATTTGCAATGAAAATAATTTACTTCTATAATTTGTGTTTAAATGAGTTTCCTTTTTCAATACCACATCCAATCTAGAATCTTTTATTTAACTATAATATAATTTCTAAGCACATTTCAAATGTTCAAAAAAATCAAATTTAAATCCTACCAATATTCAAATAAAATAAAATAAAATATATAAAATAACAAAATACAAAACAATATCAATTTTTTTTATTAATAATGTTTAATATCATCTAGTTTATTCTTCTAATATTGAAGATTTATCCACTTCATTATAATACAACACATTATAAATAGTAAATAATAAGATATTTAAAATCTATTAAGTATTTTAATTTTAATTTTAAAGACAAACCTTTTAGAGTCTCCACTGATTAAACATGTTTAGTCCGCTAATTAACTAGATCGGACTAAAAAACCATGCATTTTAAAGTTTGGAATTGCAAGAGGGAAAAAACTAAACAAATGATATTCCACTCATAATATAAACAATATGACAACAAAAATAACTAAATATTATTATGACTAAATGTTATATTTCGTGCATCTATAACAAGATTAAAAATTAATGGGTAAAATATATTTTTTATTTTTATAAAATTACAAATATTATTTTTTCATTACTCTATAATTTTTATTATTTTTTTAATTCCTCTAACATATAGATGTATCTGCTATTTAAGAAGTTCAAATCCACTTTCAACATGTTTTTCGTCGTTATAAAATTGGTCATTTATTTTTCCCTTTAGTATTTTCTAGGTCCGCCAAATTATATAACTGTGTTATTGTTATTAATAAAGAGCTAATTCGTTAATAGTTTGTAGTATTTAATCGACTATCTCTTAAACTGACTAGTTATATTAAGTAGATAATAAATTATATTAAATAGATAATACAAAATCAATTAAAAGTTAAAAGTTGTTAATAGATTTTAACTAAGTCAATAAATTGAGTGATAATGAATTATGTTAAATAAATAGTCATTTATGTTAAGTATACACGTGTATAATCAATAAAATAAAATGAGTAATTAACTATATTTAGATAATAATCATTTTTTTAAATAGATAATCAATTAAATATTAAAAGTCGTTAATATATTTTAACTCTGTCAATGACAATAACACATTTCATAAATTTCAAAGATCTAAAATTACTAAAAATTTTAGAGAAACAAAAAACATATATTTTTAATTTTACAAAAACAAAAAGCATATTTTACTCTAAAAGTCATTAATGGACATTAACCCTCTGAATAACCAAAACACATTTATAATTTTGGAAGGCCTAAAAGTTTTAGTAGTGCGAAATATAAACCCTAATAATTTTATAAAGACAAAAAGTATTTTACCCTAAATTAATGTGTGATACATAAGCTTATGCACGTGTTGTAAATTTGAGAAGTGTGAACTGCCATAACCTGTTACCCTCTCTCCAGTCCCTATTTTTAAACTCAAATATCTATCCAAGGCAATTCCATATCCAGTTTCCATCCATGGAATTAATAAGATTCTATGCTGTGCAACCATTTCTTTCACTGAGTTGCAAAGCAATGGCTTTAAAAAAGGTTCCTGAATAGCATAATCCTTTCCAGTTCAACATAGGAGTCAAGATTTACATGTTAAACGAGAATAGACCTAAATAGATTACAAGCATCAGATCAATAGCTTATGTATTATGGTAACGTTGCCAATACCACAAGGTTACGGTTTTTTCCTGAGAGCTAATGCCAGAAGATAGCAGAGAGCCGAATCAACAGATGATAATGCAACAATAAGCAACGCAACCAGGATAAGAGTCAGAACCGCCGTCCTCAGCTGCAAAGGATTAATAGAAGTATGTAAACGTTAACACATTTCACAAATTATAAAATGAAATAGAAACATATGGATGTAGTGGGGAAGCACTATGGTGAAACTGTAAATAATGAACTAATTGGCGTACCGTACTGCTAAAGCTTGGCCACTCTACGTATTTCAGCTGGCTAGGTTGCTCAACCAAAAATACAAATAAATATTTTATCCCCCTGGAAAAGAACAGATCGTTACTAGCAAATATGGTTGTATTTTTTTCTATAAAATTCAAAAGGGGAATTCAATTGGTCTTTAATCAAAGTGAAAATAGTTTCAGTTGATACAGGTACAGACAGTATTTCATTATGCTAATGCAATTTGATGACATGTTAATGTTTAACAAATACCATATGACATCATTGATCAATGATAGCAAAAAGGGTTCCTCAGGCAAATCATCATCATAGCTTAACTGATGACCACTCCTTGCAGCACTGGTAAAAAATTTGGTGGAACTATGGTTTGCATGTTTTTCTCTCATTTTTATGCTAAAAGTCTGCAAACACAATGTAATCTCAAATGATAGTTCCCACAAGAAACACATGCACATACCCATAAATTGAAGGAGATTTAAATTAGATGAGAGAGACAAGCAACAATAACCGATAATGGTGTCAGGGAAACATCTCTGTGACAAGCAACTCTCGCTGGAAACTTTGATGGCAGAAAAGGAGCACCTTGGTGAAGGAAAGCTGCAAAATATCAAGATATATAAAGTTTAACAGGAGTGAAATAAGTATGACTATGAGGATACCAACGTAGTCAGTCAGAACAAACCTGAATAGTTCGGTTGCAACGTGGAAAGGAACATCATTTTGAGACTCAATATTTGCTAAACAATCATGACCAGTTCAAAGTGCGGAAACCTGCGGAAACCAACTTGGCTATTAAAGGTTTATCCATCACCAATTCGTCTCGAAGTCAATTCATTTATTTCTTCATGTTTCTTGCGTTATAAGTAAGAACCTTAACAGTTGACAGAAAAATAGCCAATGCATACAAAAAATAAAATGAACAGTAGACATGTATCAAGCAGACCAGAAAAGAAAAGAAAGGCTTTGATCTGTTGAATATATTGATAGCTAGTGAGATTAATTCATCAATCAAATTGTCTTAGACCATAAATTTCTCAAGACTCCATTTTACAGAAACCTAGAATTATAACTGTTAAATTATTTCTTTGGATGCAAAAAAATATGAGCATAGAAGGCGTTGGAAAAGCCGTCAAGCATGAAGAAAGATCACATACCCGTCAAACGTATCATTGTATTACTTTTTATTTGATATTTTGCTAGAGAAGATTTTTCCTTGAAAAATCAGCCAAAAATCATCACGAATCAATGTACAGACTCAGCAGAATAATACCATACCAAGTTATCATCCATCTTTGATTGTTATTTCAACTCCTAAAATTATTCTATGAAAAATTAACAAATTTGAAAGTACTCTGAAACAGACAATTAAATTCTAAAAGTTTAGAAAAAGGGAAAAAATATCCTTATTGAGAGAGTTTCTTGAAACCATTACACTGCTGTCTCCACTAAAAGAACTAGGAAATATCTTTAGCTAATCATCTGCATTTGTAGCTGCTTCTATCTACGAGTGTTTCTATTCACCAATAGATTTGAAATTCAAATAAGTTCGTGGTTGTAGGCATTACATGAATGACATCAGAGACTCTACAAGTCTACCCAAAACTATCTAAGCCATAAGAAACCAAGATCTGTTAATGTACAATAATCATTTCAAACGTCATCTCCCAAGCCCAGTCAATTACACTGAAGGATACAATAAGGCAATGAACCAAAACATTCTATATCATTTAACAGTTTCAAAGAGTAATGGATAAAATCATCCAGAATTTCCTTCTATCACTATTTCACTTTTTCTCGTCCAAGAAAATGAAGTCTTTCAGGATAATCCCAAAAAGAATTAGTTGCAATCTAATTTTTATATGTTGTATTATTAAGTGAAGTTTCATGTCAGCCTCAGTAAATTACATGGACTCACTCTTTCTATTAGTAAAACGGCATAAGATTTCACCCAATAATAAATAAAATATTAAAGAGTATCAAAGAATGTGTTATTTACATTTCTCTTGCTCCCAATTTTGTAGATTGCACGTTTCCATCAAATTCAACAGCATGAATAATTATCGAAGGTAACTAACTAATGGCTTCTCCTCTTAATACCCAGAACAATAATGGTAACAACAGATGTGAATTCAGCAAAGGAAAAAAAAATGCCATGCTATTTAGATTCTGATTTGTGGACGAACGAACATAGGAGTTAGGAAAACTTTTAAGGAAGAACCAAGCAAGTGCTGATAAAAAAAAAAAATCGAGAAAACTGAGTCAAGAACCAATAAATCCCCCATAAGACTTTCACATTTTCACAGCCAAAACAATCTGCACCTCATGGATTTCTCTACAAACAGAACCTGTACAAGACTCAGGGAATCATGTATCACAAAAACACGAAGAATGCAATGACTATAAGTGTCAAACACTTGAGATCATCACCCAATACTCATATTGACTACAATTCTACTCTACAGTTCAGGTCTTTCATCAAACAAGTTATGAGCAGAAGCTATTCGCAGAAGGTAGAGCCAAACACTATCCACAAGATGAAAGAAAAATAAATAAAAAAAAAACTACTGAAACGATGGTGGCGGAAAATACCTGATGGTGGCCGGGTAACGTCTACGGAGAACGGCGAGGACGGTGAAACTTGTTCAACCGGGGCGACACAACACTCGTGTTTAACGTTTCACCAGGTATATTTCGGGGTGAGGAGAACAAAGAAAATAACATAGGATTTTAAAATTTATATATATATATATATATATATATATATATATTTTTATTTATTTGCCATAAAAATTCTGAGAATGAATTATCGAAGGATATAGCTTATATAAAATGAGGGTAGGTCTGGGATATTATTTTTAATTAAAGAATTATAATATTGTTCCTATTTTTTTATGTAATTTTAATTATTTATAATTTTCATTCATCTTTTTTTATGTAGTTTTGGTCTTAACATTTTTAATTATATAACTTTATTCAATTATCAATTAAAAAAAAATTAGTTATAAGAGTATCTTCGGGTAATGTACTTTACTAGTTTCTTAGAAAGAAAAAATATATATCTCATAAATAACTACGTGTCAGTTGATTTAAGTGATGGTAAAAGTTCTTAAATGTTAGTCATACAACATTTTATATAAATATTCTTAATTACATTAATAATTAATCTCTCAAATCACATTTATTAAAAATAAATAAATTTGATTTTTTTACGTTAATTCTAACAAAAATGGAAAAAAATAATCATAATATTTTTTATTTTAATCATAATAAAATGGTTCTAAATAAAAAAAAAAAATATATATATATATATGAATTTTTTTAAGGTAGTGTTGTAAATATTAATAAATTTTAGTATGTGCAATTTGTGATAAAAGGCTGTACATTGTCATTATATTTAAAATTATTATTCCGAAATAACTAATTTACAACATTCTACAAAAATAAAGATTATTTTATCAATAAAAAAATCATATAAGTTTTGAAAAATATTTTCAAAACAATTATTTCAAAAAGTAAAACAGAAATGTCTGGGACATGTTACATCTTGTCTAATTTCTTTCTCAATGTCAAACTTTATTTTGTGCCTTTCACCACCATATAGAAACACCATCAATGTTGTTTAGTTGCATTTATAAAAAAGAAAAAGAAACATTAAAAAGGGAAAAAAAAAAAAAAACGAAGTTCATGTCTCATCACATGCAACATCGGAATACATTACCTTCCCATAATGTGTGAAAATTATAGTTTAGTTGTACCCTTTGACTCTCCATGCATGCAGGTTGTTAATGTTACTCAGAAAAGAAAATCAAAGGTGTTAGATGCTAATTATTGCATTAATTAAACACTTTGTTTAGTTAAATTAATTGTCTCAAGTTAGTGTATGGATTCAATGTTACTCCTACAAAATAATGTTTCTTCCTCCACTCCCAACCTTGCGTGCATATGCATGAAACTAGATACTTGTAAGTTACACCACATTGAAATGTTGATGTACAGATAATTACTGTTATTAACACTTGCATATAATTTTTTCATTATTAAATTAAATTGATTACGTGTTAAGATTAAGAAAAAATTAAGACACATGAAAGAACAAAGATTAAAAAGAATATAATATAGATTAATCTTCCGTATCACTTGATCTTAAATACATTCATATTCTTCAAAAACAAAAAATTAAACCAAATTTTTATATCATTCAAAACAATAATTTAAATCAAATTTCACACCGCGTTCTAGTATAAAAATATAAGAATAAAATACTTGTTTAAAATATTTTTAATTGGAATATCAAAATATTATACATTTTAAATTCATTATATAATTATTATCACTTATTTTATTATTTATTTAAATATGTAATTTTTTAAAATATATTATTTTCATCAATTCAATAAAATCAAATTTTATATATAAAATATTATTTATTTTAGACTTTTCGTTTATCACGATTTTTCATAAAATACATCTTACCTCGACTTACTGAAATGATTGATATTAATTATAATAATAATAATAATAATGAGAATTGGTTGAAATCTTATAAGATCTTAGTATTATATTACTTGAGATCGATGTATATGATATAATAAAAAAACTAAAGATGCACCATCAATCAACCTGTGTTAACTTTTGTGTTAGCTGTCCCTTAATGTTTTTCCAAACTCAAATGCATAGTTTATCAACACTTAATCTTTTGCATCAATTTGTGTGCAAGTAAAAAATTAGTAGTTGCTCTAAGCTTTCTGCTATACCAATATTATTTTATATATACTTTCGCTGATAATGAAAGAGCCATGTTCATCTCTGGGGTTACAGTAGAATATTATTGTTGGCTTCACTCCCTCGAATTTAATATTACAAATCCCAGATTCATTAAACAATGAAAAGAGTCTAACTATTCGTAAGCATGTGGCTGGTAAAAAATCTATATAACATGATAATGTTGCTGTGATTTTCGTTGATTCCCCCAGTACTGATTTTATATATGAAGTTGTAACAAAAATTACTGATTGTGAAGACCAGGAAACAGTTCTAGGTTTGGCATTAATGGAGCTTCTCTGAATTGCAATATTTCAAAGCTTGATAAAGAAAAGACTTCTCAAGGACTGGATTACTAGCAGAATCTCAACCAACATTCATCACATTTTATGTCATCCTACCCACTCCATGTGACCTTCCTCACTCACTAAAGTAATTTGATGGAGAACAAGTCTTACTTACATTCATGAATTAGAAACAAGTTAAAGAATACCTGCATAATTGACTTAAAGAGATAAGGACATCAATCTATATTACTTGATATGAGATTATTTAAATTTTATGTTGAAAAATAATCATTAAAAAAATGATAACAAATATTTTTCAAGAAAAAGAGACATGATAAAATTGTGATATATATATATATATATATATATATATATATATATATATATATATAACTTAATTTTATAAAATCAATTTAAAGAGATAAAGATTATATTCACCTATTATTATAAATATTAATGTATTTTTAATTAATGTAATATTTCATCATTCTCCTTATTATGAGGAAAATCTTTTTATTATACTTCTTATCTTTAAGAAAATTTTCAGCATTTTCTCTTGAAAAAGATTTTTTTATATCTAAATGTTTTTAGAGTATATTATCTTAAAAATTATGGGAGGATTAGAATTAATAGAAGATTTTATCATATTCCTTCATTTTAAAAAGAATTTTTTTACTATCACGATGATTTGTTTTGCTTTACAAGTTATCTTTGTCCCATGAATCAAACCATGACATATCTATATTTATTTCATTTTACAATTTTAAAATTCGAACCTATTCTATGAATCAACACAAAATCTCACATTTGATTTAGTTCCGATGGATTGATATGATTAATCAACTTAAATTCATCACTGAGAGTTGTAACTCAAAAGGTAATAAAAACATGTTTGAAAAATCAACCAGTTTGAGATAAAACCCTTCAACACCCGGAAACAATTTTGATCAAGGTCTACACATAATTAGTTCTGACATAATTCTTACACAGGCACTGCAGAATGCCTTTGGAATTTTTGCATGGTAACGGTCGAACTGAACTGTTATTGAAGAATTTCAATTCTCTGCATTACGTGTCTTTTCATCAGCAACATAATGTGGGTCGTGGAGTATTGAGTGAGGATGCTGAAGCTGGTCAAGCATCACCTCTTAGACAACATGGGGGAGGGTGTTGTCTGGTAGGAGGCATTGATGTTTAAAGTTTTAATAGTATTTTGTAACCTTTCTTGCATTTGGCACGTAACATGTTACCCTTGTCGAACATATCTTATGTCACTTTGGAGTAGGGTTAATGACACATGTGGGTTATGTTTGAACAAAAACATATGTGGTTCCTCTCACTCAACATGTTTCCTAACATGGACAGAAGAAGAGTAATTAGGGATTCAAAATCACTATCCTAATCTGAATTAAGTATGTGAAAAGCTAAAAACCCAAATTAAACTTAAATAATGTTTGGATTTTAGTTTGACATGGTTCTAACAACATCAAAAGATTAATTTCACTAGGCACATGATTCCATTTACAAATAATTGTTAAGTCTAAAATTATTATATATATTAATATGGTAAACATATAATTAATATATTAAAATGCATTAGATTTGTTTTTATTAAAAAATTATAATAATTAATAAATAAATTCGACAAAATTATCAATAAATTTTGATATATGACTGTAAGATTTTCGTTTATATCTAAATAATTAAATATAAATTTTATTTAATATGATTTATACAAGAAATTCATTTACGAAATTATAAAATATAATAATAATTATGCTTTCTCTTCTCATACATTAGAGAGATACTTTAGAAAACAAATAAAAAATTATATTAAATTCTTATCATATCATAATTTCCTAATTTCTTAAAAAAAATCTACATGTTTAAATTAGAATTAATGTTGAATCATGTTAAGTGGTAAAAAGTTGATATAATTATACCTTGAATTGTTATGAAACTACTTAACTTATGTTAATTCTAATATATTTTTCACTCAATATATGATGAATTCGAGAATACCTTGATACAAGAGTAAGGAGTACAATTGTCAGCATAATTAGAGTAAAATTAAAAGAAAGAAGAACGTTTAAGCGAATGAATGATGCGAGGTCCGACCCAAATTCTCTTATTAAAAGATAAGTTGTGTTTTGAGAAAAGCAAGCAGTCTTGGAGGAGAAGAGACACGACTACTGTTAGGGTTTTGTCCAATCTTCATCAATTCTTCACTTCTTCATCAATTAGAGCATTGTAATGACCAACATGAGTAGCTAACTTCATTCTCTTAGGATTCGGTGCACTTCTTTTGAACTCTTTTGTATCATAGTGATATTTTGAGATATTAATTTATACTTTGATGTTGTTATTCTTATCCTTTATGCTTTGGATTGATTTATTCTTGATTGTTTGAGGTATGATTGGAAAATATATCTTGAACTCTAGATCACGGTAAGAATATTTGTTACGTTAATTATCAGGAATGAAATGAATGTATCAATTGCTTAACACCCTAAACCTAATGCTGAGAAATCTCTTAATTGTGTGAGGAATCAACATTTATTAGGTTTTCTTATGAATTTCATGTGTGAGGAATCAACATGGATGAATTGAGTAGGTGACATCAACATTGTTAGGTTAATTGACGTTCTTAATTGATTTAACCATTACAAAAGAGGGATAAGAAAGGAAGTCAATCCTAAGTACCTTTAATTGATATTTTCTCAACAATTTACAGTTCTTTGTCATTTAATTTCAATTCAACTCTTATTTGCAAAACTCAATCTGTTTAATCTACTTAGTAAGCATAATTGGAAATTTCCATTGAAACTGTTCCTCGTGGGATCGATTTTTATTTTATCGAAATACTATATCTGCGATTGATAATTTGATACGTTTACCAATAATTCAACAAATCAATATATATATATATATATATATATTTAAATGTAAATTTTATTTTATTTTCTTAGTATATTTTTATTTTTAGTATTTATATGTTTTTATTAATTATTTATATTTATAGATCTCCCTTGTCCGTAAAACATAAGTATACAAATTTTATTTAAATAAATCTAAATTTTCGTTATATATAATAAAAAAATAAGAATTTTGAAATTAAGTTGATATTTAAGAATTCTCACGAAGATTTTATATAAATCATATATGAATTTTCAAATGAAGAAATTCTAAATACATTTAACATGAAACAAGTAAGAATTAAGGATGATAATTAAATCCGCGAGGATTAATTTATCCTCGCTCAAAGTTTGACGAAAAAAATTGAGTTGACCGGAGACGAGGGCGGGATGGGTAATGCGATCTCCACCTCAAGTCCGTCCTTGTCTCTACCCTAAATTTATATTTAAATTTTAAAATATTAATATTTTAATTTTTTTTTTTGCTTTTTCCATTACATATAAGGTAATTTCTTTTATATTTCACCATTATTACTTTTCTTCTACCCACTTTTTAATTATTTTATCTTGTTTAATCTTTTATATCACTTAAATCATTATATTCTCTTTCTTTTACTTCTCATTTGTCCACGTTTGATTAATCTCTATAATCAATTTATTTTTTTCAATATTTTCAACCATCAACACAAAGTTAATTTTTCGTCTAATATTATTTTATTTATGATTTATCTTTATTAGATTTTATTATACCATATTTTTTAAATTTTATTATTCTTATTTGTCATATATCAAATTTTATCTTAATAAAATAATTTTATTTTAAATTATTAAAAAGAATTGATAATTTAAATTTTTATTACTTTAAACTAATTAAATAAGAACTAATTTATTAAATATATTTTTTTAAATTATATATTTCATATTTTTTAAATAATAACTTAAAAAGAAATTAACTTATATATAATCAAATATTTAAATATAATATTATAATAATAATAATAATAATAATATAAGTATATTATACATTTGTATAAGAAAAAATAATTAAATATTTTTTACATACATATTTTAATATAAATATAATAAATTAAAATATATATTTAATTAATAATAATTATAAAATTATAAATATTTATTTATGTAAAAAATACATAAAAATAATTTATTATAAATATAATTATTTTTAAAAAATAATATAGATACGGAGTAGGGACAAAATGAGTACCAAAAAACTCAAAACTGATACAGAAATAAAAACTTAATTTTTAACTACGATAAAAATTAAAATGAAACAAAGACAGTAAAAAAAAGAAAAAAAACAAGAAGCAAAAACCCCCAGTCCGTTGTCATACCTTGTAGGAACACATGATTTTGAGAATTCGAAAGTGATTACAAATGACAAAATTTAAAACTTTTATTTTCATTTCTGGTCTTATAGTGTTGGGCAGCAAGTCCTACACATAAACAGTACGGTGATGGAAATCTAAGGTCAATAAAATAGATAAAGACATGTCACCATTCTTGTGTATATATATTTGGACATTTTTACATTTCATAATTGTTTGTTAACAACTATTACGATTTTTTCTTTTGTGTTTTTATCATCTATTTTTCTCTCATCCAATGTTAACTAAAATGGGTGTTAATCAATCTTTTTCGTGTTAAAATCGACACCATGTGGATGATGTTGACAAAATTATTAGTATCATATATAATCAAACTAATAATATAGATGAAAAAAATGTCCATTATTAGTATTTTAGTAAGAAAAATTTTACAATGTTTTTATAAAAGTTATGAAAACTAAAATTTTTACAAATTTAAATAATTTTTTTATAAGAAAATATATAGAAAATGAAAAATTTTTTTAGTAGTAACTTAGTTTATGTTAGTGTATAATTTTTGTTATATAGTTTACACATAATGGAAGTATGATTAAATATAAAAATATTACAGATACTAAATTGTGTACTATTCCCATGGTGATATAATTGGAGTTAGATTCATTAGACCACGTGCATGATTGGAAATTCTGATTTGATTCGCAACATGAATCAATTGAAATAATTAAGAAGAAAAGGTTTAAATGCATCTTAAAATTATGCAGTGGATTGATGTGGACAGGCAGAAGCAGGGTAGCTGATCACATGGGGGGAGCATTGGAAGGTCACATGAGTCTGCAAAACTCAACCACCAAGACAACAACAAATCCCTTTCAGATGTACATTATCTATGTGCCCATATTCTCTTTTCCTTCCTTATCCCATTTTTTTTTTTTACATTTTTTATTATATACAAGTATATCATAATATAAACAATAATAATAATATAAAACATAATATAAATAATAATAATAATAACAATTTTTTATAATAATATAAATTATATTATTTTATTAATGATAATAATAAAATGGTTAAAAAAATAAATCTTCTTGTAAGTGCCGAAATATTATCCACAATTTTTATATTATTAATATTTTTAAAATAATTATTTATTTTATTTTATATTTTAATATAAATCACATTTTTTCTCTCTCCACTTTTATTTTGCAACTTTTCTTATATTTTGATCTCTCTTTTTTTTAATACATGTCATCATTTATTATCAAATTGATATCCAAAACTAGGGTTTCTCAGGAGAACTAGAACAGAGAATTTAGTGTTGAGCATTTAAAAAAGTGAGATGGTTGGTCTGACAAAGTTGCGAGTGTGTACTTTGTAGAAGGACGTCAGTTATGATAGATAGAGTGTCTAGATACAGGCTCTCCTCAAAGCCCAAAATTGTTGGAAAATAGTTGAGAAAGGTTTTGAAGCGAATCAAATCAAATAGGTTCGATTACAGACCCTATATAACGAGTTTGAAAGCATGAGAATGAAAGACTCACAAGAAGTTTCCGAGTACATCACCCGTATAAAAAACGTGGTGAATGATCTCAATCATGATGGAGAGGCAATCTCTGAAAATCGGGTTGTGTAAAAAATCTTAAGATCGTTAACCAACGATTTTGAGAATAAGGTATGTGTTATAGAAGAGTCTCGAAATTTGTATGAACACATGTTTCAAGAATTGGATAGTTCGCTTAGAGCCCATGAGTATCAGAGGAAGAAGATGAAGGAGGAGACGATTGTATAAAATGTTGAAGGTTGAGTTAAAAGAGGAGAAGACACCATATTTCCAGAATAATAGAGGACGAGAACAAGGTTGTAGTGGTTGGGCTCGAGGTGGATGATCTAAATGATCTGGTTGAGGTGGCCGAGGTGACGAGAAGGAAGAAGGAGTTCAACAAAACTGGTGAGGAAGAGGACGTGGTCCGAGAGAAGGTCGGTCGACAAACCATTCAAATATCGATTGTTTTAAGTGTGTCAAATATGGTCATTATGCGAATGACTGCTATTCGGGAAAATGTTTTAACGATGGAAAAGATAGATATTTCGCCAAAAAATGTTAAAAGATGGGTGAGACCTACCTCACAGAATGGTACAAAGAACCAACACTCATGATGGTCAATCTACCTTCGATCATTCACTTAAGAGCTGATTACAATGATGAAGTTCAGTCCAGTACCAATACTAATCGGTATGGTATTTGGATACAGGGGCGAGTAATCACATGTGTGGTGATGAACGTCTTTTCAAAGAGTTAAAGAAGACGAATGCTGATATTGTTTCGTTTGGAGATGCTTCGAGAGTCTCAGTAAAAGGTCGAGGCATAATCAACTATTTGCAGAAGGATGGACGGGTGGGGATGATCCAAGATGCGCATTTTGTTCTCGATCTCAAAAGTAACATTTTAAGTATGAGATAATTGATGGAGAAGGGGTACACGGTTTTCATAAAAGATCGAATGTTCTAGTTGAGGGACAAACTTTGAATATTGATTGCTCGGATTGAGATAGAGAAGAACAAGATGTATAAAGTTGCAGTTGAAAGGTATTCAGAAGAAGTGTTTGAAGCTTGACGTGGAAGATACAATATTGATTTGGCATCATCGGTTTGACCACGTGACTTTTGGTGAGTTTGCCGAGTTGTCAAATAAGAGTATGGTGCTTGGATTGCCGAACTTGGAGAATTAAAGAAGATTTTGCGAAGAATGTGTAATTGGAAAATTGGCAAGAATCCCTTTTCCGAGGAGTGTCGAGTACCAAGCAAATTAAGAACTTAGGTTGATTCATACCAATTTGTGTGGACCAGTACTATCGCAGTGAGTCATTCAATGGTAAGAAATATTTCATGACATTTGTTGATGACTTCTCTAGAAAAATATGGGTGTACTAGCTAAAAAGAAATTCGAAGTGCTTTGAAATATATAATAACAAAAATAAAATATATTTTTTAAATGATAAATATTTATATTTAGTATAATTAAAATGTTTTATTTAATTTTTATACAATATTAATTATTTCGTATTAACATAATAATCATATGACATAAAATTGATTACTTTTTAATAATAATTAAAAATTTAATAAAATAATTAATATTATATAAAATTCAAGCAACAGATTTTAATTATATTAGTAAAAATATATAACATATCATATAAATAAAAATAATAATAATACTAAAAATAGTTAAAAATAATAATTTTCTTTACTCACAATATAAATACAAATAAAAGATTGGATTTTGTAACTGGTGTATATAATTCTTAATTTTTTCCTATTTTACTCGTACAATTTTATAATTGTTTTCGTATTTTGTTTAAATTATGATTTTATTTTTGATATCGAGGTGAACAAATTGAATAAACTTTAACATTAATTTATAATCTATAACAATATATATAAAAAGAAAAATTTAACCGTTTTTTTATCATCGTTTAATATATTATTTTAGATAAAATATTATTTTTTATATAATAATTATAATAAATATTTATATTTATTATAATTAAAATATTTTATTTATTATTAATGATTTTATTAATTTTTAATAATTAGTTTTATGATATATATATATATATATCCAGTTATATATGTAAAAATAATTTATTTACATATTATTCAAAATTTATAAGAATATTTTTTAGACTAATGACTTTAATCACATATATATATATATATATATATATATATATATATATATATATATATATATATTATCGTTCAGAGACTATTCTGAAATTAAATATTTCTACAATTTTAAACTATATATATTTTTAATTATGATAATTAAAAAATTAACGGAATAAAACTAATATTATATAAAAAAGTTAATTATATTAAATATAAATGTTTATCATAATTATCATATAAAAAAAATATTTTACATTATTATTTATCTTAATCTTGTATATTCTCTTTTCTTTACATTTACTTAACTATTTTACAAATAAAATTAATAAATAAAAATAACAAAAAACTATCACTTTTATCTCGTTTTAAAAGATCCTCCATTATTTTCTCGTCATTTGACTTTTTTACTAAAATAATATTATATATATATATATATATATATATATATATACTAACATAACATCTAATTAAATTATTTATTTAATTGAATTTCTCATCAAATTATTTACTTAATTGAACTTCTTTATTATTGTATTTGGAATTTGGTTTCTCGTAAATCGAATTCCAACTTTAAACTTACCACTTTTTTTAAATAAAAAATTAAATAAAATATATAATTAAAAATAATAAAATTATTATTAAAAATAAAAAATTTAATTTTAAAATTTAAATAATATTTATATAAAAAATAATAAAAATAATATATGATTTAAATATATATTAAATTATTTAAATATATTTAAATAATTATTAAAAATATTAAATAATAAGTTTTTATTATATTTTTTATATATTTTTTTATTTTTGAATAGGAAATTTAAAATTTATATATTTTTTTATTATATGAATTATTTAAGTTATAATTTTAGAAAAAATTGATAAATTTAATATATAAAATATTAAAAGTAAAATTAAAAATAAGTTATTAGTAGCAAAATAAAAATTATAGAACATGATATTAAAGAAAAATAATAAAGGTAGAAAGATTTTTATAGAGTGAAAATAATAGAGATTTATGAAGAAGAAAACACTCCACAAATTTATCTTGAAATTTAAGAACAACCACACCGAACGAAATAAAAAACGTAATAGGCGTCGTCTTACGTTGTGGAAGCTGGACACCACTTTTGAGATTAAAATTTTCTTATCATCATTGTCAATAATTTTATTTTTCAATTTTTATTATTAATGATTGTGTTATTTTGAATATTATACATTAAATTCTGTCAATTTTTATTATTTTTTATTTTTAAGTTTATTTTATATTAATAATAATAACTTTTAACTAATTAAATAATATTTTTACTTTATTATTTAAAAAAATTTAATTTAACATGGATTTTTTAATATAATATTTATAATTTATCAAATAAAAACTATTACATAAATTTTTATAATATAATATTTAATTTGTTAATATATATATTACCTAAATTAAATTTTTATTTATTCTATTTTTTTAAATTATAACTTAAATAATTCATATAATAAAAAAATATATAAATTTTAAATTTCCTATTAAAAAAAATATAATAAAAAATTATTATTTAATATTTTTAATAGTTATTTAAATATATTTAAATAATTTAATATATATTTAAATATATTATTTTTATTATTTTTTATATAAATATTATTGAAATTTTAAAAATAAAATTTTATTTTTAATATTATATATTATTATTTTTAATTATATATTTTATTTAAAAAAGGTGGTAAGTTTAAAGTTAGAATTTAGTTTACGTGAAACCTAATTCTAAGTACAACAATAAAAGAGATTCATTAAATAAATAATTTTATGAGAGATTCAGTTAAATAAATAATTTCATGAGAGGTTGAATTAAGTAAATAATTTGATTTGATGTGAAGTTATATATATATATATATATATATATATATATATATATATATATATATATAATATAATATAATAATATTATTTTACTAAAAAGAAAGTCATCATTCTCCTCTTGAACCTTCCTCCTACATTTATTTATATCCAAAAGTTTTATCTCAAACAAAATTAATAAATAAAATAACAAAAAATTGTCTTATCGATTTTTATAAGCACGCTTAATTATAATATTTATTTATTTATTAGTCTTAAATAAAACTATTTTA